CAAAGAAAAAAGAGGAACCAAAAACGAAAGCTGATGAAACTCACTTTATTCCGAAATTCAAAACGGAAAGTGGTTTCATGAGCTTCATGACTGAATTCCTGAAGGTGGCAGTGTCAAATGAAGACCAAACGACAAAAATGGCAAGCCTCCTAGGGAAACTTAGAGCGTATATGGTCAACGCAGACGCTCTAATCAACTCTATCAACACAGTCAAGAAAAGATCCAGAGATAAAGACGAGGAAGATGAAAAAAACGATCAGGAGGTAAATCTCGCTCTACGTAGGAGGATATCTCATGTTCGCCACTACAGCACTGGCGATATGCCCAGTTGCTTGCCGGTGTTAACACCAAAGGCGAACTCAAATGAGGTACCTTCTATGGAAAGCGAGACACCAGTAGATCAATAGAACACAACCAATGAGAGGCATCAATCCGGACAGTCATCATGGCGGGCCAGGTAAAGGTTCTTCAACTTAACGTTAACGGACTGGCCCCCAGATGTGCTGAGCTGAGAAAATACATCACCCACAACCCCAAAGATGTAATATGCCTCCAGGAAACCAAGCTACTACCAACTAAGAAAGACATCTACCTACCCGGATACACTTGTCAGAGAAGGGACAGACCGGGCAGCATGACTCGTGGCGGCGGTCTTGCCATCTACGTCAGTGATAACTTAAATTATACTTCTGTTACGCTGGACGTAGCGGGCCCTCTAGAAGCAATGGGCATAGCCATCACATTGAGCAATAATAAACAATTGACAATAGTGAATGTCTATGCACCCCCAATAGTCACGATAAAATCAGTAGACTTCCAGTCACTTCTCGACCAGCTTCCAATCGGTGTTTTGCGGGGATTTCAACGCAAAACACGCTCTGTGGGGGTCACCGAGGAATGACTGTCGGGGGACTAGCCTGTGCTCAATAATCGAAGGGAACGACCTATGCGTACTAAACGACGAGAGCCCTACTTTTGTTGGAGGAAATGCCCCACCTTCACACCTGGATCTCACGCTCTGTACGCTTGGTATGGCAAACCGCTGCGACTGGCAAGTACACGAAGATGAAACACTTGGCAGCGACCATCTACTGATAGAACTCTACATCCAATGTGAAACAACCAGGGAAGTCTATAACGGGAAACCCAATTGGAAAATAAAAGAGGCTGATTGGGCTAACTTCCGTGTAGGCTGCCTTGGGTGGAAAGAAGAAGACATCATCGATACCAACATCGACGTGTACGCAGCCAACATCACGAGTGCTATTATAGGTGCCGCGGACGACTCCATTCCCAAGACTTCTGGAGGGCAATCAAGGATTAGAAAACCTTGGTGGTCACCAGAATGTCAGAAGGCGGTTAACGATAGAAAGAAGGCACTACGCCTACGGAAACGTCACTACAATGAAGTCAACCACCAAAACTACCTGAAGTTGAAATACGCTGCTAGAGACACCATCCGGAAGGCACAAAGTGGGCACTGGATGACATTCTGTAATGCGTTGAATCAAAACACGCAAACAGGTGCCGTCTGGAAGAAGCTAAACGCCATGAACGGGAAGCGCAGATCATTCAACATACCAAACCTAAAGAATGGAGATGAGTACGTTACCAACGGCAATGAAAAGGCAGATCTACTTGCAAAAGCCTTCGCTGACGCAAGCAGGGACGAAAACCAATCACCAGAGTTCCTGAAGAGAAAGGAAATCTTTTACTCACAGCACCCTTCATTAGAAATTGAACCTAATGAAGGGGCTAAACCAATCAATCTACCCTTCTCTGAGGAGGAGTTAAATAAGGCTCTTTCCCTCAAGAAGGATAGTGCGGCTGGTGAGGACAAAGTAAAGTACTCAATGCTCAAACATCTGCCTAGAAATGCCAAAAGGATACTACTAAACTTCTTCAACACATCCTGGCTGGCAGGAGAGGTACCTAAAGAATGGCGGAAAGCCAACGTCATCCCTCTTCCAAAACCAGGCAAAGAGAAAACAAAGGCAGAGTCCTATCGACCAGTAAGTTTGACATCCACACTGTGCAAAACCTTGGAGAGCAACCGACTGATCGACGAAAATCAAAGCGGGTTCAGGAAAGGGCGTTCAACAATGGACCACTTGGTAAGACTGCAGCAAGTCATGTCGCAGGCACTCCTCTCTGGGAACCTGTTATGTGTCGTGTTCGTAGATTTAACTAAGGCTTTCGATTTAGTCTGGCTAGACGGGCTGCTATTCAAGTTAGGACGTATTGGTATAACGGGCATAATGTTTCGGTGGATCAAAAGCTTTCTGAGCGATAGAAGGATACAGGTGAATGTTGGCAGATTCCTGAGTGCCGAGCAAACATTAGAAAATGGCACGCCTCAGGGGTCGGTTATCAGTCCCACTCTCTTCAATATCATGATCAACGACATACAGAAATCTTCCTACCTCGACGCCAAAACTGAGTTAGCTAAATTTGCTGATGACAGTACCATATGGAGGAAAGGGAGGAACTTCTGTGAACTACAAAAGAACATGCAGAAGGCCTTAGACAAATTCATGGCCTGGGCAAACGATTGGGGATTCAAGGTCTCGGAGAAGAAAACAGTCGGCATGCTTGTAAGCAGGGATAGAGGGATAAGCAGAATGACTCTGTCTATGAACGGGAAAAACATCGAGTTTAAAGACCAAACCAAGTTCCTTGGCGTAATCTTAGACCGAAGGCTGACCTGGAAACCGCACATCGACGAGACTGTAGATAGATGCACCAAAATCCTAAACTTAATGAGAAAAATAACGGGCAGTACTTGGGGGTCCAACAGAGTAACACTAATGATGGTGTATCGTGCTCTAATACGATCTGTATTAGACTACGGCTCTCTGGCCTTCATGAACTGCGCGCCATTACTCTTAAGGAAGCTTGACACCATCCAATACAAAGCTCTGTGTATTGCGACTGGCGTAGGGCAAGGGACTGGGAGAGAGGCACTACTGCAGGAAGTCGGGGAGTTGCCCCTATCCCTGAGAAGAAAAGAACTAGCGACAAGGTACTGGGCTAAGATCTCGCAACTGGGCGAAAGATCCCCAACCTTTGTCAGTCTACAAAAAACAAGATATGTGAGAGATCCTAGAAAGAAAAGCTTCGGCCAGGGTATCAGGGAAACAATCAAGGAACTGCGACTGGGGGAGCTCGTGATAAATGAACACGACCCCCCAGCGATCGCCCCTTGGACGCTCCCTATACCGCCGGTTAATCTAGATCTACTACAGAAAACCGAGAAGAAAAACAACCCCACTGCAGCACGTGCTTTTTCTCTAGAACACCTGGAAGACAACTGGCCGTCTGATGACTGGGACCATGTGTACACGGATGGCTCACGCAATCCTGAAAGGGGCACCAGCTCGTTTGGAATATACCTGCCAAACGGGGAACAGGGAATAAGCAGGAAACTGCCCAATAACTGTTCGGTGTACACTGCAGAACTTGTGGCCATTCGTGACGCTATATCATGGATTTCCCATCAAAAGACTAGTAAGTTCGTCATTCCAAGCGACTCTCTGAGCAGTCTGATTTCAATCCAAAATGACAACTCGGACTCAAGACCAGAAGTCATTTTGGAAATCAGGCAGCTGTACCAGAGGGTTTTAGAGAAGGGAAGCAAATTAGAACTCGTGTGGATTCCATCACATGTCAACATTAGAGGAAACGAGCAGGCAGATCGACTAGCCAATGAAGGTCTCAAGGACACAGCACCACTCCGCACCATAGACTACAGCACCACGGAAATCTACAGTATGGTCAAAAGACAGGTCAATTCAATCTGGGAATTAAATCTCGTTGAACTTGACACATACAGATTCCGGCTGGATGACAAGATCTATACAAAGACAACACTCAATCACCCTAGATGAGATATATGTAGACTTATATCGAAGCTAAGGGTGAAAGAGTGGCTGAGAGACTACAAACACCAAATCATCATCTGTGAGTGCGGAGAAGAATGTACCACCAACCATGTCCTGGTAGACTGCGAGGTATACAAGGAGGAGAGAATGGACCTAGTGAGAACAATGGAGACTAACAACATACCATTCAACACTAAGAATCTACTCTTCCCGAGACCAGATTTGAAACTGCAAATCTTCGAACAAATCCACGTCCTAATGGACACAGTTGGACTAAGTAGAATAGTGAAGTAAGAGGGGGTCACGGCTAGACGGGCTCGGCATCTAAACACTAAACTACATAGGGGATTTATACCACACTGGCAGGATAGTGGAGTAAGGGGGAGTCACGACCAGACGGACTCGGCATCTAAACACTATTCCGCCAAAAACAGACACCAAACCTACAGAGTGGGATAGTGGAGTAAGGGGAGGTCACGATAAGACGGGCCTGGCACCTAAACACAAACCCCTCAAAGATGACATCTACCAAACTAGCAGGATAGTGGAGTAAGGGGGAGTTACGATCAGACGAACTCGGCACCTAAACACTATTCTGCAAATAAAAACTGACACCAAGCCCAAAGAGTGGGATAGTGGAGTAAGGGGAGGCCACGACAAGACGGGCCTGGCACCTAAACACTAACCCCAAACGATGACATCTACCAATCCAGAAGCAGACGAAATCATCCACCAAACGATATGTTTTATATTAAATAAAGGGAAGAACTTCCCACTAAACCAAATCCATGGCCTAATGCCAAATGGAAAGATTGCAAAATCATATTCTAAAAACAGGAATCAGCTAAATTCGGCTCTCCTATGTCTTGTCTGCGATATCACTTATGTGGAAGCAGACGTTAAACACCAAGAACTACTACTACTACTACATAATTAAACAATGCCATAATATTTTCGGTTATGACATTAGAATCAATAATTTGTAAAGATAACAATATTGTTTCAGCCATCATATTTCTCCAGTAGTCGGGACCTCGGTTTTTTGATCACATGGAAAAGACTTCTTCCTTGCCCCCCCCCCCTCCAGCTCTATTGTGCACCACAATAAAATAAACGTCATTGCACATGACACAGTTTAATCAATTCACATATAATACAACACAGTGAATGAACTGAAAATTACCATTGTATTTCAAATTACAATTTGATTAATGAATGACAAGGTACAAAATTATATAAATATACTGTATGACTGTAAAGAAATTAAATAGAGGGGTTGAGAAGATGAATGACAATGTTTACTATGGTTAAACGGATATAGTAATAGGGTTTCACCATGACTATACACTGAATGGTAATTCCTAAGGATTTAGAAAACGGACGACAATCTATGCACACTTTGTAAATTTCTTTTGAAATTATTGATTTGAGTCGGACGAGGTGTTTGCCAAAGGTCAAGGACAATATTTCATACTAGGAAGACTTAGTTGTATGTCTTTCAACTACATGTTGCAAACAAATGTTTAAATATCAGCTTAACTATATATTAAAATCCATCGATGGGTGATTTTCTGGACGAATAACTATTTGATTTATAAAAGAATAGAATAGCGACGAGTATATCGAATTCTTACTATACGATAAAGAAGGAAAAGGTGTTTTTTTCTATGTGTATCTCGTATAAAATAGCCCTGACACTAAGATATATTTATATTTGCTTCTACTTTCTAAAGGGCAAACATGTTCGTGTCCACCAGTTTTACATATGTGATAGAAATGGTTAAACAGATTCCAAATCTATATTTAAAGATGCATAATGTCAGACTTAGATAAAGAGCTGACCATTCTTGCTATAATAGCTTCAAAATAGATAATGTAAAATGAAAATATTGAACATTTCTTTCAAATTACTACATTCTCAGCCAAGTTATTGTTTGTAGTTTTGACAAGAAGTGTCCATTCTGGTAACCAAGGCACTGGTGTATTCGAGACAGCCTCGCTTTCCCATTTTTAAATTAAATTTTTAAATGGCAAACCGTTCTAATCTAGTCAAAATCTCTAGTATCTGATGCCATCAAGAGTTGATTATTGTCTTGTGTTGTTAATAAATGTCTTAACTAATAGTTTATATAACATTTCAGGCCTAAACAAAGACCTGCAATAGACAGATTTATTTTATATGTATAAGTGGCGGACACCAACATTTTTCTTTAATTTTGAACGGACGAGGTTACAGCATGTATAACACATGCAGGGAGGTCCACACTGTGTCCTCTTCCACGTATGCCATACATACGCCTCACGAAATGCCTATATGCTGTAGACCGGTAACGTCTGTAAAAAAAAAAATACATATACGGGCGCACTATTTGGAAAGAATGAAATGAAATGTGGTTTAACGCCATGCAGTGTTCGATGAGGGAAATTTTTCCCGCACAGCACCACTACGGCCTACACTTATTTCGAATTACAGCTGTCAAGTATTCTTTAACGTGCATGCCAATGTGTACACGGGGCCTTTTTTTTTTTTGTCCCATCCAAACAACAACTATTTGTTCTCACTTGCCAGCGATGACAAGTGGAAACAACGCTGAACCACCATGTGTCCCGCTCTATTTGTATCAGGACCAAATGAAGTAGGCATCATCCGTCGCCACAATCTTGGAATTGTTATAACTGTCCAAGTAACAAGCATGCCAAATAAGATGGATTGTAATGCAAGGATCAAAACATACACTTGCATGAGGCTAAGCCCATCTACAGTCACCTGCCCTTGGTGATAGTCATGCTACACCCATTACATTCCTGTATCCTCGATAATAATTCGAGACTAAACCATATGCCAACAGTATCATCTATCCGAAGCCAATGAAATGCCTAGCTTCGGCACGGCAGCAATGTGATAAAAGTAGTCTTAATGGCGGACTGTCACTGTGCACTGACCCTTAACAACCGTTGATTACTATGTATTGACCCATAACAACCGTTCATCAAACAACAGAATGTTCCTAAAGATCATTATCAAAGTCTGAGCACTCTTGAGCGTCCATGCGATTAGCTGTTCCAGATCACTCAAGAATTTGCAACAAATAAACTAAATTACTCGCCAACATTTGAATCTATTCGATACAAGGAATTTATTTACTAACATTAGTCTAATAAGAGAAGAAACTATCTGTTATCCACAAAAGATTATTAGTCGATCCAAATTATTTACTAATATTAGAAGATTACAAAACCAGCGGTTGCAAGGCAAGATACGTCCTTATTTTGCAAGAGATGGACTGAGAACAAGATAAAATAATGCGATTTTTAGTACAATCAGGGACCATAATCCAGGTGCAGGAATATCGACAGGAACCGTGATCGTTTGAATATAACATATATATTTAAGTTTCATCAAAATCGAATAAACATTGTGACTTTTAGAGGGTCCATAACCTTGGTATGGCATATTTTTACACTATTTGCTATAAGTAGCAGCCGTTTTGTCGGGCAGCTTCGGTCAGATTTTGTCGAAATTTAACTAAACCATCATTAGAGTGTAACGGTGATATATTTAACCTTATTTTCAAATCTGGAAAAATTGTGATTCTGAAGGTTCCAGAATTTAAAGAATCAGGGCCCATAATCCACAGGTTACGGTGCGATATGGGCGAATATTTACGGACCTGAAACATGTGTGCTATTAACATGAATTTCAAGTTTCATCAAAATCGGATAAAAATTGTGACTTCTACAAGCAAGGTATAGCATACCTTCAGGCTATAAATATACATTTCAAGTTTCATCAAAATCTAAAGCTAACAAAAAAACGCGGTTTTTGGTACGATCAGGGGCCATAATCCAGGAAGTTATGGTGCGATATGCGCGAATATTGACAAGAACCAGGATCGCCGAGTTAACAATATATATTTCAAGTTTCATCAAAATCGGATACAAGTTGCGACTTCTCGAGTGTCCACACCCTTGCTATTACGTACGTTTAGACTAATTGCGTACATGGAGCGGCCATATTGTCGGAATTTTACGAAATTCTAACTCGAATATCATAGAGGTGAAACGCTTAAATAATTAAACGGTTTTTAAAATTGAATACCAATTTTGACTTCTAGAGGTTCCACAAGCTAAATGCACGAAATTCGAAGGGCACCAAGATCTTTGGGTTATAAACATACATTTCATGTTGTGACCTCTAGAGTGTCCACAAGCTAAAAACGTGATTTTTCGTACAATCAGGGGCCATAAACCATAAAGGTATTTCGAAAGGAGTCGAGATCTTTTGGAGATAGACCTATATTTCAAGTTTCGTCAAAATCGGATAAAAAATTCTAGCCTATAGAGTGTGGACAGGGGAGACGACAATATACGACCACATGAAAATGTTGGCGTATAAATTATAAAAAAAAACTCACATATATCTTCCTTTGCCGGAATATTTGTGAAAAACTTTTTCCAGATAGGGAATACTTAGACATTCGCGCCTAAAAAAGGGCATTTTGGTAATGCATTTGTTTGCTCCCATTCTTGACACCATGTGGTGAACGTCATGGCAACAGATTGGTCTAGCATTCTTCAGCGGACAACAGGAACATCTACATTTTGTAGGTCTGTAAAGAAAAAGATAGGTTGCCAGGCAACGAAACATACGCCCACATCAGCTAAATCGTCCGGGCAGTCAACATGAGTTGTCGCATATTTCTACTTTTGTTGGTAATGAAACATTATAATACACTAAAATCTGATTAAGTGTAACAACTCATTAAGTAATTATCAGAAAATCATTAGAATTTGTTTGGCCCATGCTAACGCTTAGTATACAAAACATTTAATATCATGTTTATCAAAAATCATTAAAAATCGTCTCAAGACCTTAAACTCTGTGTATCAATCTAAAGTCAATCGAAACGATTATATATCAGCGTAAACACAGTGTATAAATATAAAATCAATCAGATGATAACTATGATCTCTAAAGCATCAACAAGTGATCAAGGGCCATAACTCTGGCAGTTATTATCGGAAATCGTTGAAAATCCATAGGTTTCTTCGTCTGATGATCTTAAACACTGTGTATATAATTAAGGTCAATTGGATATTAACTTTAACCTCTAGAGCGTCTACAAGGTTCTTCAAAGTGATCAAGGGCCATAACTCTGGCAGTAATTATCGGAAATTGGTGCAAATCATTAGGATTTTCCGTCTCATGACCTGAAACACTATGTATAAATATAAAGTCAATCGGATATTAACTTTAGCCTCTAGAGCGTCCACAATATTTTTCAAAGTGATCAAGGGCCATAACTCTGGCAGTAATTATTGGAAATCGGTGAAAATCAATAGGCTTCTTCGTCTCATGACCTTAAACAATGTGTATAAATTTGAAGTCAATCGAATATTAACTTAAGCCTCGAGAGCGTCCACAAGATTTTTCAACGTGATCAAGGGCCATAACTCTAGCAGTAAATATCGGAAATCGTTGAAAATCAATAGGATTCTTCATCTCATGACCTTAAACACTGTGTATAAATTTAAAGTAAATCGGATATTAACTTTAGCCTCTAGAGTGTCCACGAGATTTTTCAATGTGATCAAGGGCCATAACTCTGGTAATAATTATCGGAAATTGGTCAACATCAATAGGATTCTTCATCTCATGACCTTAAACACTGTGTATAAATTTAAAGTAAATCGGATATTAACTTTAGTCTATAGAGTGTCCACAAGATTTTTCAAAGTGATCAAGGGCCATAACTTTGGTAGTAATTATCGGAAATTGGTCAAAATCAATAGGATTCTTCGTCTCATCACCTTCAACACTGTGTATAAATTTAAAGTAAATCGGATATTAACTTTAGCCTCTAGAGCGTCCACAAGCAATTGTGGACGCCGGACGGGGGCTACGACAATATACGACAAAAAACCTGTACCCGAGAAAACAAAGAGTCATCACACACTTAACGAAGGTTTATACTAATGAAGGTTGCTGCCATTAAATCATATGACGACAATATCACTACAAATTCAAAAAACAGCAACACATTGTTTTTCTTAAATACGTTTTATATAACGCAGAATACAATATTTACAAGCATAAATCTATGAACGCAAAAATAACATGTCTTTCATATTCCTGAAGCAATGGCCCGATAAATCCCTCTCTGGCCATTGCTGGATTAGCTTCTGATACTTGCGCTTTTGAGGGAGTGTGTCTATTCTTCCCGTGCAATCAAATCTATCCAAAAGCACAGCAACATGACAGTCCTTCGTTTAATCTTGGGTCTTCCCTAAAACTTTGGACAGTGATTTAAGGTATTAAAAACGTCTCAAAACAATATTGTTTACATTATATCCAGGGAGTAAAAATCGTGTCGACAGTTGATAGCCTTGTTTGTCACACAATTAGTTTTTCTGCAATATTCTGCTATGCACTGGTTAATTGGGCATGATAAAATCGTGAGTCATGACGTAACATTATGTAAACATATTTGGTCCAATTTGGAGCTCTGTTTGGCATTGTTACGCAGTAAGCTATTGGTTGTTAATCGGACTATTGACCAGTCATAATTTAGAACAAGAATTTGCTTTGTTTACAGCAGTGAGTAGTGGGATTAGCTCTAATCAAACGAAACACTGCAAGGAGTATGCATGTCTTTCAAGCAGGCTATTTCAACTCCTCTCTGCTCGGTCAAGCCAGTGTGGCTAGACTACCGGACACATTATATCATATCCTTCTTAGAATTGAAATTAGTGATTTGATTCGCCAAGCTTGTCATGGTCTTTTTCATTCCCTGGAATCACTTATTGAATATTGGTGTCGGCCATTATCACATATCCGTAGCAATAATCTGTGTGTTGAAATTATTTTTGGAACGTGTTTAACCAGTTCTATCACATATGTGATGATGACTGCAATGACACCAATATTGTCCTTCAAGGGCGTTGCGCGGTCTAAAATGCACATTTGAGAGCTAGCACTGTACATTTTGTTCATAAACTGGGGTGGAACAACTGCATATTAATCACAAACAAAATACCTATTTTATTCAATATGTTCCTTAAGCATGATAATATAGGGTGCTGATGACAACACACACTGCCTGGATGTCCATCAAATTTGAATTGAACAATGCTAATTACAATTCCAAGAAGGCCAAGGGGCATTTTTTGACTGTGGTGTGTCTGATATCCTTGGAAACGCCCAATAACGATGATGGGAGTTTTCTTGGAAATTTTATTACTACATGCTAAAAAGAAATATCGACACCAAAAACGTGATATATCAACTCAAAGTATTTTTAAATCTTTGTTGATTATTTACCTTCAAGCGAGATTTTGTGATTTTTGGAAAATTCTTTGAACACGTCCACAACAAGTTTTAAAATACAACAATTCGGATGTAAAATGTAAATATTTACTTCAGTGTACTACTCCACCGCTCCCAAAATCATTTTATACATTAAAAAATGCTAGTCTTCGACAATGAAAAAATGAAATTCAGCCATGTTCCAGTCGGCATGATCTTGTGTGAAACGTGAACGGTGTGGTGTGTAAGACGTCATAATTTATCCAAGAACGGATCTAGGTCGGAGAATCCTTCTCGTTTGCCATAAATAGATGTTTTTAGCTTTACTCTTGTATCTCCATTATTGTACACAACAAACGGTACTCTTGTATCTCCATTATTGTACACAACAAACGGTCGGACTGATATGTGTCCTCTGGGTTATTTTAAACATGGAATAAGTGTGCAAAGTCTTAATAAGATTGGTACGTATCTTGCACTACTCAGCGCTTTAATTAGCTGATTGGTTAATTATGTCTAACGAATTAACCAAATATGGATTTGTCAACACGACTGACTGATATATTTTATGGTTCGAATTAGGCCTTGACTCTACATAAGTCACAGAAACGCCAACATAGCATCCTGTTATTAATTATTACTTTGAAAACAACTTATTAGCGTTTTAAATAAATATGTATTAGGTCTGACCGCTATCATGTTCATATAATATCAAAATTAAATAAGAATGTTAATGAAAATTATCCCTTATTTTATATCATATTCTTTTCCAATAGCCTTTCTGGGTTTGTTTAGATCGACATTACTTTAGAAGTTTACTATTCTTTTTCTATAACTTATAAAATTAAAAGAAATGTGTTTTAACGTCCTACTCTTCTGCTCCGACTGGGATAATTAAGACGGGCATCTATTACTTGTAAGGTGAGCCACGGTGGGTAAGACGCCGGCTCGCTAGTCTGGAGGTCTCATGTCTGTAGTATAGTGTCGATGAAATCTGTATCGTTTGGAAACTACGTTAATTTTAGGTTTAAAATGGCACTGTAATTTATTCAAGGCATGTACATAAACTTCATCACTGTAGTGATCATCTTCTGGATTGATATCAGGTCAAGTATAAAAAATACGTTGGCCTTCTGCTCCTAAGGAATTGAGTAGAATAGCTTTCTTCCGTTTTGCTGACCATCTATCTGCTGCGAAAGCTAGTAGGGTGGAATTTATAAATGTTTTCTTGTATATATTTAAATAAAGTTTATGTAATATATGGTGTATGTTGTTATATCTGCTTTGTGGTTTGAAGTCTAGCCAATATGTCGTGTCCAGTGTGTTGTTGTGTTGTAATTGTGTTCACTGAGTTGTTTTAATGAGTGTACCTGGTTTGCACCTCCTTGTTTCAAACAGCACTTATTTCTGGACATGAAAGATGGCAAGACCTTTGTGTGTTTTCTCTGGATTCAGGTATATTTTATTTCTTGTTTTTGTAATCTGATCAGGTGTTATCTACCAGTAAATATATTTATTTAGCTTAGGTGTATTTCAATAGTTTAAGTAATAATTCTTGTAATAGCAATTTCCCTAATTTATATATAATTCACATCTCTAGTTTTCTCGCTATTTTTCCAGTGGTATTTATTTATTGTGGTGTACTTTCTTTTAGTTTAGCTTGTATAATACTGATATAATTAAGACACCTTTCCTAGGGTATGTTTAGTTTTCTTGTTCTCTTCTTTCTAAATGTATTTAGTTCGTATTTTATGTTTCTTTTGTATATTTATTGCTATTATGATTATGTCCTGTCTGGCATGTTTGTATTTGTATTTATATTTTCAGTGGTTTTTGTGGGTTTTTTGTTGGGTTTTTTTTTGGAATAAATAAACTGTTTAAACCAGTGCTGTTCGGTCATCTCCTCTATAACCTATAAATCCCCGAGTTAAAAAGCTCCGGCTACAGAAGCAATTATGTAATTCGTAAATAAACGTTCCCATTGAACCCATGGAATGAAAGGATTACCTGGTGTAGGTAGGAACGGCATGGGTAAATGAATCAAAGTGGACAAATGTGTAGAATTTCTTGTAGATAAATGCTCTGACATGGCTAATTCTTGTAAACGTAGATTCTTAAATAACTCGTCGCCAAATATGTAGTGTGAATGAAATGAACACAATACTGTTCAGAAGATTAAGATGGATTTTATTCATCATTCTGGACCAAGCATATAACATGGTTACTGCACGCCATAGAATTTCACTAACTTTGTTAGATCGGAAGTTATATTCGACCACCAAGTCCCTGACTACCGTATGACAGGTAGGTTAAATAAAATGGACTTACTGATCGAATATAACTCAGGCGCGGATCCAATTTAAGGGGCCCAAGGAGCACGAAATGTTCATAAATACCATTTATCCGAATTGTTTGGAGGAGACCCCACGCCCCGCCCCCCCCCCCCCCCATCAACCAATAGTGGGATTGTTGTCACTACAATACTTCAATATGGAGATCTGAAATTTTATATATTACGGTTTTTTGCGGGACGCAATGTTGGTTTTAATCCTTTCAAGTGTCTCTGAGAATTGTGTAGTAACGAAGTTGTAATACTCGACAAAACGCTATTTGAAAATTTCGTGTAATATACCCTCCATTTATTATTTTCACCAGCTTTGACACGTGAAAGTTGAAAAGTCACCATGGCTCAGTGAATAAGGCACTGGTCCACTAACCAGGTCCTGGGATCGACGATCCAGGTGATTGCACGGTAAAATTTGTAAATCGCAATAACCATACTTGAGCATGCTCCAAGCGCAGGTCAAAAACATACAGAGCTGTCACAAAATGAATACTTCCTTCAACAACAAGCGGTTGCCATTCAAAATGTGGCAAGAGATGGGCTGGGGACAAGGAAAATCAATAGGGTCCGATATGCTGCAAAACAGAACCAAGATCGTTGGGATATAAACATAAGTTATAAGTTTCATCAAAATAAGATAACAATTGTTAACTCTGAAATTGTTTTGTTTCGTACAATCTAGGGCCATAATCCGATATGGGTCAATATCTATAGGAACCGGGATCTTCTTTACGGTACACTTTAAGGAACCGAGATCTTTGGGATATAAACCTATATTTCACGTGTCGTCAAAATCGGATCACCAATTGTGACCTGTAGAGTGTCCACAAACTAAGTCTGAACGGAAGGACTGGCGCGACAACAATATACGTCCACATGCAAATAGTGTCAGATCATTCCGCGTAGGAAACAGTCATTTATTTTCTAGTTATTATAACACTTCTCGCGTGGATAACACAATACTCACACTTCATGAATCTTTGCACCGTAAGTTCTTTCTATTTCAGCGACCTTCTCCTCAAGGATACTTATCGTTTTACGGAGTTCGGCCACATCAACCTTCAATTGGTTATGCTCTTCAATCGTGTTACGGTCTTGCATCTCGGCTTTACGGTAATCGTTCACATTAATCACATTGTCGTTCCCAATCTGCACCCGTTTACTGTTCACGTTGTACGTGTAGTGCTTTGTTACGCTCTGTACCTGCAAGAAAAAAGAGAAAGAAACTGGGGGGACGAGGTTGATTTCTAGCAATCAACACAGAGTTAAGAATTGTCCAACTTTCACTGTCCACATCACTGCCCTAGTGCTTCTGATTCCTTAAGAAATGCTCTGCCGGATAATTCCTCAATGTTCGGCCTGGTGTGGACAGGAAAATGTTAATACGATTATTCTTTCAAAAAGTCGACGCATATTTTAGGAACTATGAGGCACAGTATTCTAATTATCAACATAAAAATGTCATGTCTGTTCATGGAATATCCTTGTCGGAAGACAACATAATCGTGCCGTCCCAAAAAGTTATTTTGAGACAACTCTGGATTCAATATTTATGGGAACTCGTCTTTCACTCTAGCTACATGTGCTAATCGTCTGGTCAAAGTGTGTGGATCGCATTTTATTGTTGGAGTTTCTTGACTTACAATTACCACTTCGGTTATTGTACGAGGTAGACCTTTTCTCCGTTGACTGTAAACCAGCGGCGTTGCACCGAACCATATACTTATCGCCTGTCGTCCAGTCTGCTAACAATACGCAGAGACTTTGTCATGGACCACTTAATGCTTGTTCATTGCATATCACAATTATTATCTACCACCTGTGTAAGAAAGCAGGGGACTATGACTATTAAAATGGTTATGTCCACCCGTCGCACGTTTTGGGACACAATAACGGTCTCAATTGAGCTACAATTCTCAAACTTGGGGTATGTGCTTATTAGGTAAATGCCTTGACGGGGTTTGAAGATGAGCAGAAATAAGTGGCGTGATTGGTTGATGCTTTTGGACACGATAATTATGGTTCTAATTAGGAGAGGGTGATGAAAGTTGATGTATAGTTTGATAATGAGCACCTTCTTAGGCTATTATACTTCAGTCTGATTGGTCGAGACTTTAGGACAAGAGGTAGAATTATCAAACGTGGGGTAGGCGTCTATTAAGTGAATGCCCCGACAGTATTCGATTCGATTGGAACTTTCAACTGTAACACGTTGCAATAATTACTCAATATAAGCCAAAAGGATCCGCCTTGTTCATTTATAGTCCGGCCCTGTCTTCAGTATTAAAATATAAAATTGAACACAAAGTATATTTAGTTATCCGTATTGTAGTAATGGCAATCACGGCGTGTGTTTTTTTGTTTTGTTTTTTGTTGTTTGTTTTTTTTTTGCAAAATATAAAATAATTACGATGTCGTTTAACACTCACAATAACATATTTGGTTACCGGCCATTCAGCCATTCAGGTCGTACATGTGTCAAGTATACAGTCATATATACAAACGCCTAACTATAGAAGTCTACCATTCTTAATTTCTACTTTTCGCCCTCCAAAACACGAAAGTCGAAAAGTAGCAGTTACGACAAAATGTGAGGCGACAGCAACGCTATACAAGCCAAAATCGACTCGAAAATAGGAAATCAAGAAATAATACACTGCGATAATAGCGCCCCTCGTTTTTTTTCCTAATTTCTTATTTTCGACTTGCATTTTGGCTTGTATACCGTCTTGTCGACTTTCGACTTAGTCATATTTTTGTATTTATTGATGTCAGTAAGATGTTACTATGGAGAACGTAAATTTCAGATTATACATTCCAGACTTCGTAATTGTAAAAGTGCTCTAAACTTCCATAGATTTTTAATGCATATTTCATATAACCCGACATGCAGTTGTGGTCATACTCAAGAAGACAGCGACCATTATTTTCTGCACTGCCCAAATTATTCGTCTCAGCTTATCTCAACATTAAATACCCTCCCATTTAAATCCATAAATACAAAAGCGTTCCTATATGGCGATACCAACGAAAGTAACCCGTTCAACAAAGTGAGTTTTAGTAAAGTTCACAAGTATTTAAAACTAAACAAGCGCTTTGAATAGATAAGGTAATTGTCAGGCGACAATGATTGGTGTTAAATAGTGATGATGACGATGATGATGACGATGATGATGACCATGAAGATGATTTATTTATATATTTATTTATATACTAGAAGAATGCCCGGCTTCGCTCGGGGGTCATTACTCCGAAACCGGAAGTGGTAGACTAACGCCACCTGGCCTATGTTACTCCCCGGTCCGAGCTACCCCTATACCCCAAATTTCAGACTCGGAAATGACAACGTGAATGATGGATCAGTCGAACGACAGAGTGAATGACAGGAGTTTTCCAGTCGAATAATAAAGATAATGGCAACTCTGGTCATAGCATATCTGTTTATAATATATTTCATATAAATGTTTATACACGTATTTGAAAAATACATTTAGGTCTACGTGTAATGTTGAATGTATAAATTCGGAAATGTTTGATATCTTGAACTGTATTATTTAAAATACACGATTAACGTATTAAATTGTAAATAATGAATCAAGCCAAGACATGTATTAAATGTTTTAAATGTTTTATTGAATTAGAATAGAAACTGAAAACAGATTAACACCCCGTGTGAGATATTTCATTCAAATATTGTGAAAGGGTTGGTAATAAAAATTAAAATTGTCATTGTGTCATTTTAATATTATTGACTCGTCCTATTCTGTTACGTGGTCGTCTCAACATATTGTTGTCATGGGTTACTTCTGCAAAACAACTCAATAGAAACGAGTAAAGTATTATAAAAGAAATTATGTCTAAAGAGTTCTTCATGACATGTATTGACTGTAAGACACAAAGCGTACAGGGTCTAAGTGTGATGTTAAAGGTCAACACGCAAATATTGAAATTGGGTATGTTCGTGGATTGACTTATAGAATGTTGTTAATATTTCCATTTAAATAAATACAAAAAGCAATTCGAAAAATAAACTATAAGTAAAAGAACCATCTCAGTGAATAAAGCTATTAATATGCCGTTAACCCGTGAGGCAAACCGAATGATGTTTTATAGTAAATTAGACGAATAAAACATATAACGTTGCCATCTCGACCCTGATGCCCATGAACACAAATGACGAGTTTAAGACAAACCAATTGCGGAATGGAATTGATTAATGGAATATAAATTTTATTATGTATTGACAATACTTTTCTGGTTAGATTTTAGCCTAAACACGACATGTGTGTTGGTGACAATTTTGCCAGTCATATCTGAATGACTCAAAAACTGTTTATATTTCTTTAACTTTTGGTATACCTAAATTCGGGCTATTATTTATGGTAGAAAGATATATTAAAATGACCTAAAGCTTTAAAACATATTTTTAAATATGTTGAGGCACCCTAAATTGAATTTGAAGCACCAGGGATAAATAAATAAAAATAGCTATAATGCATGATTTTATTGTAACTAGTGAACTGATAAATATTGTACAATTTATCTAAAGAGTACATTTATGAAAACGTGGTACTTTTCTGATATCTAGTTAAATTAACACTTACCCAGATCTTGGCATAAGCATGACTTAAAATGATCACGGCTAAAACAATTCCGTGCGAATCAAGAATTCTTTATGTAAGAATAGAGCTTTATAAGACCGTAAATGCACCACACATTATGTCTCCATAAGATGGTAGCTATAATCTTTCAATCCAATCCCCTAATTAAGTATACCCCCTACCAATCATAATAAAATAATAACATAGCAAAACGGTGTTTAATTCTGATCATCTAAATTATCAAATGATATTCGCCGAAGTAGTAACTGAGAAGGACGTGTTTTAAGATATACATAATGTATCTTACTATTTTTCGCTTATATAATTTGATTTTCAAATACAAACCATTAATACCTATCTTAGCATTAAAACAATCAACCATTTGTGGTTATATTGAAATCTGTAAAAGACGCATTCTTTTTGAATATATTTTTAAAAAATAATAAGTTAAGTACAACAGTCCAGTAGGTTTTGCTGCATTGGAAAAAAACATATTATTAACGCTTTTTCAACAAGCAATTGTTATACTCTTAGTGATTTGTAGAGCGTCAAATCACAATGTTATTGTACTGTTTTAAATTGTAGATTTTATTCATTCATGTAAAACATTTATTACAATTTTATAATAAAATGTATAAAACACTGAGTTCGAGATTCAAATCACAAATCCATCCAAGCTAGGATACTGCAAATCCGAATATTTTTGTTTATAAAATATTTACTTTCCATTCAATAAATATTCCAGTCATCTAGTTTTGGATTTGGGGAAATTCATTCTCCTTTTCCCATATATACAGATTGCCGTATTATTTAATAATCAAACCAAACAGCATGTAATCAAAGAACGCTTGTATCCGCCATATGTAATATTGTCACGTGACATTGTTATGTTTTGTTTCGCTCGGGAAGCGTTTATTATACATAATAGAACTCCAGTGTAGTAAGCCATAACTATGAACACTATCATGTCCCAAATAAATAATCTAATTTGTAGATCTGCAACTGGTCACATGATGGTCCGAACATTATTTGTATGGCTCTATTTGTTGACAGCAAATACCGCTAATAATTATCTTGGATAAAATACCTCGTTTAGTAAACGAGGCAATTTTACCCAGCCTCGTTCTGAACGTTTTTGCCTCGTTTGGACAGAAATGCCGAACGAGGCATTCTGAGGTTTATAGTGTAATTTCAAAACACTATAACACATCACGTAATATTTATAAAGTTCAGGTTTCACTTTAATTCTGTCTCAGGATATCTCAATTTGGTAAACAGGTAAACCATTTCTTCTTCTTGGATTTGTATTGGTATGTTTCACCTACCATAGTATCAAGTTGAAACTTTCTTTTTTTCTTTTAAGTATGATTGGTTTGTACAATTTTATCCGCCAATCAAACATATCATTGCCATCAGACCAAGAATTAACTATTCCTATTTTTTTTTAAACTTTATTTTGATATTAATCTAACATTATTATTTCGAAAAATTATTTGTAAATCTTACTTTTAATTAAAATTAAACTTTATTTTAATATTAATAAACATTGATGTGTCCCTTTAATTATAAAACTTCAAACTAATTTTGACCTCTTGACCTTATCCCAATATACAAGTTTATACTTTCCGTTTCTGTTTTAGAATTCCGCCATTATTATTTTATATTTCTCAGTCAGTAATGGACCTTTTTGACCTAATCATTTACAATTTTGTATTTCGTTTTTTATAAACATTCCTATCAGACTGACACAAGCTGAGCTCACACTTATGACAATACCAGTGTTACATTTTAACTAGAATAGAACTGTCAATCATATATGGCCAGTATATGAATGACATTCCATTTTATCCTACAGTACCTATTCCATCATTAGTATTATATAAACATTATTACATAGAACCATATCCCAAGCAATTGGCTGTACACTCCATTCACCTAGAACACAGTCTATATTTTATAAACACGACAATTAGAACATACCTAACTTTTAATTACACATACAGTTAACTACATGTATATCCTATATAGTAGTAGTTGTTTATTATTATATATTAACGCATTCCGTGACTTTTACACACGTCAAATTTAACAGTGTTGGAACCTACTGTTTATTATAATTCGACCTAATGTCAAATTACACATTCCTAACCATCTCGTGTCGACAGCTTAAAGCAATTAGCAGTATATATTAAACGTTAATATTATGTTTCTAAGCAAAAATTTAATTACATAAAATTATATACGGACAAAATTTACCGTATAACTCCACTTTTCTAAAATAAGTGTCGTATTTTTAACTTTAACCTCCTATAAAACTCGTATTAATGACTTTGCGATAATCTCACAATTTAACGAGCCTTTAATTTTAGTTTTTCCCCAGGAAAACTATTACCAACATCCCTAGATTTTAACCACATGGGATTTTTTCCATGACCTAACTTTTTAATCAAAAGTTAAATTACAACAACTCTAAGGCCTGGACTAAGGGCCTCAAAATTATATAGCTTAACAGACATACGAAACAACACAAAAACACAAATTAACGAATCACAGTAGAAACCACGGCCAACTAGGAAACTAGAGTTAATCACTCACAAACATCATCCTTAGCTCTGCCGTCTTTCCACTGCGACCCGGAGACAACATTAGTTCCTTATTTTATTCCCTATTCCGTTTCCTTATTATTCCTTAGTTATATCAAAACATTTTTTTTTAAAACTTACTCCCTAAACTTTCTCTTTAACTTTAATTTTACTACAGGTCATGTTAACCCAATAATATACACACCCAACCAGTGATATTATATTGTTTAATAAACCTATCAAACTCAACTTATGAATCATTATATTTGATTCTCTATATAGTTAAATTTTAAATATTTAGTTTCTAATCAGATTTTAACCTTAAATTAATATTATTTGGTCTGTAAACAAATTTAACACATTTAATTTACCAAACAAAATGTATTTACCCAATTTTTCGAATATCTTCACCAGAGTTTTTTTTCCACCAGACTTTTTCTGTTGCTGGATTGTACAGGTTTTCGTCTTCTAAAGTGACTTACTCCAAGGGTCGAAACTTCAGCACGGCACCAAATCAAATCTGTAGCACCATAGGTCCTTTGTCTGACGTGGAGAGCGGGCGTATATGTCGGAAAACCGGTCGCCACATCCTACGTACGACCCATGCATCTTTTCTTACTACATATTTCTGTAGCCTTGTGATCGTCTAGAATTTGTCTCTAGCTGTCTTTACTTCTGCTTCACGTTCTGTATTTACTTCTTACAGTTTCTTAAGACGTTTGTCTTACCAGGAAGAACAATGCAACAGTTTGCTTCTACATTTTATATATATATATATATATAGCTGAATACAGGTATACAAGCATAGCACAAATTACGATACTAGCTAAAACCATTTCTCTACCCTAGCCAGCCTCGCGGCTGTCTAGGAACTCAGATGGAACCTCTCTGGAATCTAATGGAAGTCTAACGAATTCTCACAAGTATGATAGTTTTGTAGCTGTGGGTTTTGGGCGTTCAATTATCTAATTGGTCAAATATCATGTAAATATCATGTCAAACAAGCCAAATGATGCAATCGTAATTTTCCATCACATGTTCTCTCTGTGGTATTTTATAGACACATTTTATGACTAAATAACTCTTTTTTATATAACAATATGTCATTTATACCGTAAGTTGATTTAGTACACACTACATTTAATATATATGTGAAACTATTAATTTGCCAAATATATTAATTAATGAAATATAAAGTCATCTTATTTCTCTATTCCTTGTCTATAAATTTAAAAACAATGTCGCAACGACGATGGTGCTACAGAGTATGCTAAGCTAAAAACGTTCCCGTCCCTGTTGCAATTTCCGAATTTCTTTTCATTTTCCTCAATTTTCCTCCCTAGCGAAATAATTAAAACAAAGACAGATTAATTTGATTCTGAATATTAGGAAATATTAAACAGGCTGTGAAATTTAATCTAGAAGCCATCAGTGGAAATCAGGATCGGGTTAAGCTAGCATGGGGCCCTTTCATCAACAATAAAAATAATAACTGGCATATTCTGGTCATTGTCCTTCTCACACTCAAATGCAATTTGTATGTCAATATGGTTGAGCACAACATAATAAATCAAATCATAAATTATCATAAACTAATTTGGGGATCCTGTCTGTGACATCGTCAGCATCTACTTAATCCGAGCCAGGTGGAAATGGATCGGATTTTGAATCCCGAAATAAAATTAAAAATATTAGCCCGCGTAGTTTTCTGCAAACATTTATGCCAAACTCACACACGTATAGGCCCAGGGCAAGTTGTTGTCAGGGGCAGCTTGGTCTGGGGGCCTGATCGAAAAAACATAATTTTCAAAATTACTAAAATAAATTGAACTTCGTATCCACTGAAAAATATAATGACCTCAATCTGAGGATAACAATGATCTATTAATGAGGTGCAGGAATAGTTAATCAAACTAGTTTCGTTTTCTCATCATGTCACATATTCTTCACAGCGATGAGGGCCCAACGAAACTAGTTGGTCCGAGAGCCCAGAGCTACCCAGTCAGTCCCTGAGAATTTCAATACAGGGCTAAATGAGGAATTGTGATAATAAATGGTTGCAAACTGCGACCTTTTTAATACCGACATCAAAATCAGAGAAATTTGGATATCAGCCACAATCCCTCGTTCACCATAAGCCTTAACTGGTTTCCTGTCCCACTGAGCGCCTACAAGTAAGGAGGATTGATCGATGATGCATGTACGTATATTGAGCGAGATTGGGCTTTAGTATCGCTGAATCTGTTAGGAACAGGGAAATAGGGAGGAGCAGGGGGCACAATGTTTTTATTGGGACATTGGGAATATTATGATGACATTAACGCTGCCATTGCCATGAGTATTTAAGATCATTCTTTCGAAATTCGATGGCACTTTCTCAGAAATGTGGTAATATTTGCGGATGGGAGGGGTACATAGCCACGCATTCACCTATACCCTTGTAGAAAATCGCATCGGATTCGAGCGTTATAAACAATTTCCGTTTTCTTTTATTTATTTTTATTTTATGTTGGCAACCCGCCCAGTATGCCTCTGCCTCACTGTTGGCTTGTCAAACAACATAAGGAGTGCTCGGGTGTATAGTAGAGGTTAAACTTTGCATCTGAATTGAAAATTTGCAAGTGATAGGGTATGTTTAACAAGAGCCTTAAATAGCCGTTTGATACGTGACGGTATTTGATTAAAGAAAAATGTCAAAAAATATATCGGGTATTCCCATATCATCGTAAACGGGTATACCCGATGTGAATTATATAGTGACCATAATACTTTAATAGACTCAATATTTGACCCTAATATTATTATTACCGCCTCATATGGGGTATACTCGTTTACGATGATATCATCTTTATAAACGCAGTATACGAGAATTAGATAAATAGCTGACCTCCTATACCCGGACATCTGCTACGGCCTACTCTTATATCGAATTCCAACTGTCAAGGGATCTTTTACGTGCACACGGGACCTCGGTTTTTTGTCCCATCTGAACGACTAGACAGCTGTCCTTATCAGAAATGAAATGAAATGGGTTTAACGTCCTACTCATTTCCTTGTCCGGCCCTCCGTCCTGCATCACTGACAAGGGGAAACCACGCCGGAAAATCGGGATGAACTTTCTCGGCCAATGCAGGGATCGAACACCCGACATCCATGCTAGCGAGCCAGCGTCTTACCCACTTAGCCAATGAAATGAGGTTTAACGTGCTACTGCTCTGCTCCTAACGGGGCTAATGAAGACGCGCATACGCCATACAGTGTGCTACGAGGGAAATTTTGCCCGGAAAGCGGGACTACGGCCTACTCTTATATCGAATTCCTACTGTCAAGGGATCTTTTACGTGCGCGCCAATGAGTACACGGTACCTCGGGGTTTCGTCCCTTGCCATGCCCTCATCCACTGACAAGGGGGAACATAGCTACAAATGTCGTAGCGCCTGGAGTAAGGCGGATCACATCAGTAGTGGAACCTTTTCTAGGGGGAACCACGCCGTAAAATCTGGATGAACTTTCTCGGCCAATGTAGGGATTGCACCCCCGACTATAGCGAGCCAAAGTCTTACCAGTTTAAAATAAAAAAGCATTCTCGAAGACAGGTCGCGAGCTGGGGTTTTTAAACTGGTTTATTTGCCCCACATTTGCGTTCAGACGTTCCCCGGGATTTTAAAGCCAGTTCAACTTCAGCGTTACTGCAGATGGAATGGTTATGTTGTTCAGATTGCATATTAAGGTTAGTCTACACCTGACAGATGTCCTGTGTGAGAAAATGTTCACGATTCTATCATACAATTTCACAAACATAAACTGTCATTTTCTCCGATAAGGATCCCAACATAACTCAAATCCATTTGAGATCAAATAAAATATAGATATATCAATTCAACCAGTTTTTAAAATGTACTCACTGTGCTAGACGACATTGCTACTGATATTTCGTTAGGTTGTTTCCTATTTCCTAGAACAACGTGCTGCGTGGAAAACGAACTTAACTTTTGGATAAATTTAATAAATTCAACTGTATTGGAATACCCGATATATGTAGGTCACCTGTTGTTAGATTGGAATACCCGATATATGTAGGTCACTGTTTTTAGATTGGAATACCCGATTATGTAGGGGGGTTGGATGGCCGAATGGTTAGCATGTGCGCGCTATATCATAAAGCCTGTCATTGAGTCAACTGGCGTGGTTTCGAATCCCCGGTTGTACGTGACAAGGAGTAGGGTCGCCTGTCCAACCGCGTGGGTTTTCCCCGGGTCCTCCGGTTTCCTCCCACTGCTAAAGACCTCTACGCGCAGGCGAATTATTTAAATAAAATTAAACCATATGTTAGTCCCGAAATGACCTAGTTTCTGTCGAGTGGACGTTAAACCCCATTTCTATCTCTCTCTCTCTCACCCGATTATGTAGGTCATTTTTTTTGGATTCTGATACCCGGTAAACATATATAAATCACAAAACAAACTCAAATGTGTCTCTAAATGAACAGTGTACAATTAGCTCTCTGAAATTTTACGATACGATCGTTATCAAAGAAAGCGTTCAGGGGTTGCCATTGTTGAATTGACCAGAGATGCTAACATATGATGATTGGAAAGAGGAGTCATAGGCCATAAGCACCGATTAACTGCACGGCGTGGAAGGAATGTTAGAAAAATGCAATCATTTCCTGCATTCTGGTGAGATTTGCAGCCAATTTGTAAGTTTTATTTGATTTTTAATTCTTTAAACATACATTTGGAAAGAGTTAAATCTGCCAATTGCAGATTTTTGTTTAGACCTGACATGTCATCTAAATTATTAATTAGACATTAATTTACTTATCCAGACCATAATCAACTCTCGGTGCCATCGCTAGCCTGCGATATCTACTGGATTAGAACCCGGTCTGCTGCTGCTGATTAAGAAACAAAAATGGATAATCGAGACTGTTTTTTATCGTATCGACTTTAATAATGATGATCGAGGCTAGGCCCAAAATTCAATCGCTAAATTCTCGGTTCAGAGAGGATCAATTTGACTGAAATTTGCTGCAAATTCCCTCTACATTATCTAGTTTTTCACTATTATAGTGAGAACTGCCAGCTCTTTATCTAATCTCCCATAAGGTATCTTTAAAGTAGCAACACTGTTATTAATTTATAAAGATCAATCAGGCTTTGTCTTTGCATAGAGTTAAAACACAATTTTAAAAACTGTTGAATCTCCACATTTCTTAAATACAAGGCTTAAAAAATCAAATTCCTAAACGGGCTGGATACCAACACAACGTTTGTTTACAACATGTGACGTCATACGAAATTATTTATTCAAGAATATTGCAAATACCAGAGTTTAAACTGTTAAAATTTGTAAATTAATATACATATTCAACAATTTTAGTATGAAAAAAGTTGATTAATGACGACAAATGATTCTGAAGCAATTCATATGTTGCCTCTTTAAGCTTTTGTGAAGAATTCGTCAGGAGTAGACCTTTATCATTTTGCATTGCAATTTTATGAGTTGTAAATGCATTTAGGGTTGCAGCCTTTTGTTACATGCTGAAAGCCCTTTCACAATCAGCATTTGATTGAACGACCACCAATATCGACATTACAACTTTCAACAGCAACGGATATTTGAAATTGCCTGTCGCTGGACTGAAGGTCACTGGTTCGCAGCAGGTGGTGGCCGCTTAAGTTCATCGGGATTTTTCCGACGTGGTTTCCCCTTGTCAGGGGTGCGGGGCGGAAGGCCTGACAAGGACAGCTGTACGGATGGGACGAAAAACCGAGGTCCCGTGTACACATCGGCGTGCACCTAATAGATTCCCTGGCAGTTGGAATTCGATATAAGAGTAAGTCACAGTGGCGTTATCCGGGAAAAATTTCCTTCATAGCACACTTCATGGCGTATACCCGTCTTCACTAGTCCAGTCGGGGCAGAACAGTAGGACGTTAAACTCCGATTTAATTGAGTCTTCACTTGCTGAATACGAAATTATTGTGTTCTTGTTCTGGATTTTAGACACACCCAGATGTGCTTTGGTTTGCGTATGTCTCACAAAGTCCATTTTCCGCCAACATACTTTACCTCATAACCTTCCCCGCGGTTAGATATTCAAAAAACGGAAACGCTAATGAATAATCTGCTTTGGATTTTTGTTTTGTACGAGTCTCAGTCATCAAGACGTTAATTTAATGAGAAACAAATAGGCAGAAACGGCGTGATGACCATCGTTTTGCCTTGAACTTCCAGATCGTAATCAACACTATTAATGGCTGGGGTTTGGGCTTTACGTCCGATCCACCTAGAGTGATATCACACACTATATACTATCACATAATGAGCGTCTATTTATTAGATCAACACCTTTTATGACTATTTACGGACATAAAAAGAAAACAATTCTCCCAATTCCTTGTCTTTGAAATTTAGTGAACGTGTTAGACACAATGACACAGATTCACCTGGCCAAATTATATGGTACAACAGTTCTTGTGTGTTAAGGGTGACAGGAATTGACATCTACATTATATTTTGTTTAGTATTGGTACTTTGTAATATATATCAGATAATGTACCCGTTTATGTGAATACATCCCATTGTGAATTGGATTTTCGGATGAATATTATTGATACATGTTATAAAATAATAGAAGATTATCAAATGATTGGAGCCAGATTAAGAAACAATCATCCAGTATCGTTTCCACTGCTTTTCGAAATATATTTTGGTCTCTAAGTCAATTGTTTCTTCTAATTTGGTAGCTGTGGGTTATTCTAAATATCAACTGCTAGTGAACATTTATTACGCATTGCACAGCCAATAATTAGAATGGAAAATAAAGCAGTTGATACTTTCTAATGACTTGAAATTTATATTTTTGCTCTCTAATCATCGTGCTAAGTGGTTGAAATATATAGTGGTTTGCTATCCTATACATCCTATGCGTTCTCCGTCATTTTTCATTAGACAGGTTGATGCATAATATGCTCCACCGACCACAAATTATTTTATTACTCATCTACGTTTTTATCCATTCCCATTACGAGCGATATTATTATCACCCTGTCGCACTGCCTTACCCAACCGGGAAACCTTGTGCGCGTTGACAGATGGGAACTTAACTTTCCGTGTGCATTTTGGCTTAGAGCGTTACTTTGCCATCTGTGCAAGCAAAGGCCTAAATATGTCGTACCTATTGTTTAAGTTTAAAGGAGCTAAGTCGCTAATATTTAGGACCTAGAAATTGACACAAATGGGTCGCAACGCATACAATAATGTAATATGAATGTATATAAATTGATTTACATTCAATCGGTTCTGTTTTTACTATAATTTCTAATCAGTTACGTTCAGCGAATTACGACAGTATTCTCAATTGAATTTCAATCTCTAGCGACTGGTTATTCCAGCCTACGCCGAGAGTATTTATTGGGCATGCTCTTCAGATAAGAATATAGCGTCACCGTTTGACATGACTTGTGTAATATGCCTAGCCTCGTGTTTCGAGTCCCTTATTACAAATAGCATTGAAACGTATTATGATACACGATTCGTGTACCAATTGTAAAATAATTATTTTGTCTTAAATATTGGATATCAGAAGGCCATCTTTTCCCGGTAAGATCACAACATCAATTTTGATTTAAACCGACAAATAAATCGTGTTTTCAATGTTGAAGATTTTGGATGATATTGAGTTAGAGACTTAGCTACTTTAAAGTTGGATTTGCTCACAAATACTTTTAAGCATCTGAATCGAAAATTTGCAAGTGAAAGGGTATGTTTAACAAGAGCCTTAAATAGCCATTTGATACGTGACGGTATTTGATTAAAGACAAATGTCAAAAAATATATCGGGTATTCCCATATCATCGTAAACGGGTATACCCGATGTGAATTATATAGTAACCATAATACTTTAATATCGGGTATTAAAATATATCAAGCAAACATTTGATAATCTTATACGACGTAGACTCAATATTTGACCCTAATATTATTATTACTGCCTCATATGGGGTATACTCGTTTACGATGATATCATCTTTATAAACGCAGTATACGAGAATTAGATAAATAGCTGACCTCCTATACCCGGACATCTGCACCAGGGCTCAAACTAGGGACAAATTTTAGGGCGAAGTGACTTCTCCCTACAGACAGAATAGGGAGAAGTGAGGGGGACATAGGGAGACTTGAAGAAGAGGTCATATTTCATGCATTGCTGCAACCAATCTTACCAAGTCGTTACACAGTCAATATGCTAAATAAATAAACAAACATCGTTTAGCTGCACACGTATATTTATTTCAGTACATGTCATCATACTCTTACTGGTATCAAAATTACTGTGATAATAAATTACATATACTATATACTAGTACTAAGACAGACTTGACTTTAGCAATACAAATAAGATTTGTGATACCCCTCTATCAAATACATCAATATTTATACCCTTTCGTGACTAAATACATTTAATTACTAGTCCTGGGTCTATTGTGTGATTGTTTTAGCACCTTTCCTTTGTTTTCTCAAATTTGCATTCAATAGCCTTGCTAGGTTTTTCCAGATAACAGGAGAAAATGAATTGAAATGGTGTTTAACATCCTACTGTTCTGCTCCGACTGGGCTAATGAAAATGGTCTATTCTTACATCGAATTCTAACTGCCAAGAGATCTGTTACGTGCACGCGGGACCTCAGTTTTTCGTCCCACCCGGACGACTAGTCAACTGTCCTTGTCAGACCCTCCGTCCTGCACCAGTGACAAGAAGAAAACCACGTCGGAAAACCGATGAATTTTCTCGACCAACACCACTACCTTTAGGCCAGTGAGCCTAGTCAACGTGGCTCCCCCACGGGAGATAAATTATCGGCTATTCCGATTGACCTACATTTATCGGGTATTCCAATAAAAAACAGTTGACCTACCTATATCGGGTATTCCAAAGTTTTAGGTTTTTCCTTCCAACACGCGGTTGTTCTGTTGATTCGTGAAAATAGGAAACACCCTAACTTAAAATTTTGTAACAATGTCGTGTGGCACAGTGAGTACATTTTAAGAACTGTTTTAATTAATATATTATGATCTCGACGTTAATGAATGGCAAGTTGATTTGAACGAAGTCGTGTTCCTTTCAGACAGGTGTTTGATAAGGTGGAGTGGACAATAATCATTGCATTTCTATTGTATCGGCTTGGAATCATTTGAGACAAAAAACATTTTTTATCATTACATACGGTTTAATGTGTTTATAGAAAATGACATTTTATTTTATTTTTGTTAAATGGTTTGATGGAATCCGATGTCTTACGACAGGTCATAAAAACTCGTTATGTGAGGACTCAAATTGACTACTGCGGTTCATTTATCTTGCTTCAAATGTTATACAATATCATTTATTTACATAACAAGCCGGGGGGTTGGATGGCTGAATGGTTAGCACGTGCGCGCTGTATCATAAAGTATGTCATTGAGTCAACTGGCGGGGTTCCGATTCCCCAGTTGTACGTGACAAGGAGTAGGGTCGTCTGTCCAACCTCTTGGGTTTTCTCCTGGTCCTTCGGCTTCCTCCCACTGCTAAGGACCCCTACGCGCGAGCGAATTTTTGAAATAAAATTAAACCATATTAGTCCCAAAATGACCTAGTTTGAGTCGAGTGGACGTTCAACCCCATTTCTCTGTCTCACACACATAACAAGTCCATAATTAGACGATGTCCGCAATCTGCGTTATACACTTCTATGGCGGACGACGACGAACATGTCCAAAAATGCATAACGTCACTCCCAGAGGCTGTCAATGAAAGCCTGCAGTATAGCTTTCTATTCTTATAAAATTAATTAAAGGTCTTATTTAGATTAACAGTAATACACATTTAATATAAATTTAATTGAATCCGCTGTCTAAAGCCCGATAAAAATAGCCCTTCATACTTCACTCAAAGTAAAGTAATTTGACTAAGTTTTCGGTCTATTTATTTGTTATTATCTATTTTTAAAATAGTATAGCAGGTCAGCTATTTCTCTAATTCTCGCATAATCCGTTTATAAAGATGATATCATCGTAAACGGGTATACCTTGTGTCAGGTAGTAACAATATTATACCTGATTATCTAGGTCACGATATACGATTGTCAACTGTTGCTTGATATTGGAATACTCAATATTAAAATATTACTGCCATTTCGGTTTAAAATAAATATTCATGGCTCCGGTAAAACATACCCTTTTACTTGTAAATTTTTCTTTTCAGATGAAAAATCTAGCATCTAATATACATCCATGCAAAACCATACGTATGCTGTTTAATAATGGTGATATACGCAATTCATTTTGAGGCGCTAAGCATATTTTGGCGTATACCACAAAAGAATCACCTTTCTACCCAATTGTTTAAATTACATTGATAACTTCTTTCTGTGCTGCATTGACAAGATTAAAAAGTCATAAAAAAACTTGTGTGAAAACTAATATATACAAACTTGTGTTCTTTATATTGCATTAATATAAATTTTGACATTTGCATTCTTATTACTGCCAATATGGATAAGCTGTTTAACAGATCGACGGTCTTTTCAAGCTCTAGTCCTTCTAGCCCACCAGAATCTGGTACCCAGAACTAGTTAATGAACAGTTTATAATGAATGTCTTGAACAACGATGCCATAATTCTAAAATTAGCAAATGCCACAGGCAAATATCAACATTCGCGATTTCAGCCGTTTGCCGTGAGTAGACGTAACTTTCCGCCAATGACAAGCCGTGACGGAATTTTAGCCCTTCTGCTCACAGAAATATAGACAAGAATACGAGGCTTTAAAGAAGCTAAATCGTTAATATTTGGGACCTAGAAATTGACATAAATGGGTCGCAACGCATATAATAATGAAATATGAATGTTTTTGAACTGATTTACATTCAATCGTTTCCGTTTTTACTCTAATTTCAAATCAGTTATGTTCGGCGAAATACGCCATAAGTCTCAATCAGATGAAAATCGCTAGCGTCTGGTTATTCCAACCTACACCGATATTATTTATTCCGCATACTCTTGAGATAAGAATATGGCGTCTCCGTTTGACATGACTTGTGGAATATGTCTAACCTCGTTCTTCGAGTCCCTTGTTACAAATGCCGCTGAAACGCATTATGGTACACGATTCATGGATTCTTTTTTCAAACGATAATCACTTTAAAATGATTAGACAGTGTTGCGATCAAGAGAGGTCAATGTGAAATACTGTAAAATTCTTAAGGTGTCATTAAGATATGCTTACTTTAGAGACTGTGACTTTCAAACGAATACATAATTATATTATTGATTAAGGATGTGCTAATATTATTGATTAAATATCCTATGGATAATAGTACAGTAGGGATGTGTTACCATGATTATTTAGCCTTTATTGCATAATTTAAAAACCCATTATTTTCCTATTCAATAATTTATGCTTAATTAGTTTTTAATGTTACTGTATGCTATTATAAGACCTTTCATATTTTTAATATTATTCAAATGTTCATTTATTTATTTCTATAATTTAATGACTAAAACAAAACATTAAAAAATCTTATTACATTATAGTTGAACTAGAAAAGGCTAAATCATGGGGACATGGGAAATGTTGCTACACTGGGTATAGAATGACGAAACAAAACACATAAAAACAACACATTCGATACAAGTTTGTCGTGTTTCAACTCAAGTTTTTGTTGTTAAATAGAGACACCTAACTTGAGTTGAAAAGTTCGTTTTTCTTTCAAATTCGTCAATTCTGAACTTAATGGAAGATCTATATTTTCTTGGAATGGTGTCATTAACTCACAAACCGAGTACATAATTTAGATCATAAGGTTTGACCTTGAGTGGTTTCGATCCTAAGTTTGTACGTGACAAGATGTGGGATTGTCTGTCCAACCTCGTGGGGTTTCTTCAGATCATCCGGTTTCCTCCCACTGGCAGAGACTCCTTCGCACAAGCGAATTATTGAAAACAATTTATGTTATTACCGATTATGACAAATTTGTGTCAAGTGGACGTTAATACCCAATTTATCACTCTTTTCTCGTTTACAGGTACAGCCCGTAACAAATCACTATACATACAATGTGAACAGTAAGCGTGTGCAGATAGGAGATGGAAATGTGATTGAAGTGAACGAAGAGAACGAACGCCTGAAAGCTGAGATGGCTGGTCTCCGCAAAACGATTGAACACCTGAAAGCTGAGATAGCTGAACTCCGTAAAATGATAACGACCATTGAGGAAAAGGTCGCAGATACAAAGATACATGGAGCGTGAGTATTATATTACATTTTGCTTTGTCCAACTTACACCGACATGTGTTATACACGAAAATGAAATATGTTTTAACGCCTTACTGTTCTGCTCTAACTGGGCTAATGCAGACGGTCAAATGCCATACAATGTATACACGCGGCCTCGGTTTGTCATACCACTCCGCCTTGCCCCAGTGAAAAGGGAAAATCACGATGAACTTTCTCAGCCAACACCGGGATCGAACCCGTGACCTCCAGACTAGCAGTGAAATGAAATGAAATGAGGTTTAACGTCCTACTGTTTTGCTCCGAACTGGGCTAATGAAGACGGGCATACGCCATACAGTGTGCTATGAGATAAATTTTACCCGGACAGCGGCACTACGGCCTACTCTAATATCGAATTCCAACTGTCAATGGATTTTTACGTGCACGCCAATGTGTACACGGAACCTCGGTTTTTCGTCTCATCCGAATGACTAGACAGCTGTCCTTGTCAGGCCCTCCGTCCTGCATCACTGACAAGGGGAAACCACGCCGGAAAATTTGGATGAACTTTCCCGGCCAATGCAGGGATCGAAACCCGACCTCCAGGCTAGCGAGCCAGCGCCTTACCCACTTCACCAACCAACTCAGTGCCTTGGTCACCTAGCGACCGTGGCTCTTCAATAATTAGGGAGTGTGATTTTGCACCTAATGAACTACATCACTAATTTCTAACCATATTCTATATTTTAATAGCATTAGTTTTGGGTAATTCCGTAGGACGTTAAACCATTTTTAATTTTATTTCAGCTTAACAGTGTGCGAAAGCTGGCGGTATTCTCAGTTATTTGTACTTGTTTATTTACAGATCAAAATGTAGGTGTTCCTGTTGTCCGTTAACTACTGCTAGTTCAATCTGTTGTCATGACGTTCAGCACATGGTGTCAAGCATGGGAGCTTATAAATGTATTACGAAAAAGCCCTTTTTTAGGAGCGAATGTTTACATATTCCCTATTTGGAAAGTGTTCATCAGATATATTTCGGCAAAAACAGATATAACATGTGAGTTAGTTATTTATAATCTTTTAATAGTAAATATTTTTTCTTATGGATAAATAATAGATAATCTCTTATCTTATTAGTAAATAATTTTTTTGGTTCGAATTGTTTTAAATGTACATAAATAATTGATTTCTTAGCACTTGGCACTCTTAGCATGGAAGACCAAACAATTCTTTATTCAATGTTCTTAATTCTTAGTTCTTAATTCATAGTCCTTAATTCTTATTTCTTCATTTGGTGTCGTATTCCGACATTTGTACTCTACACTTAACATTTGTATCTTAAAATCAATATCTGTTTTACAAATCAGACATTTGTCATAAAAGATTTGTGAAATGTGGTTTGGTTTAATTCAATTTTGGTTATATAAAGTTCAAATTTAAGTTAGAAAATCAAAAAATTAACCTACATTTACATTTCATCCGACACATTCAACGAAAAACAAATCTCGAACAATACATTTCCAAATACAAATCTCGAAATACAAATCTTGCAAAACATTTCTCCAAAAACATTACTCCAGAAACATGTTACGAAATTCATTGAACCGAAACATTATGACAAAATCAGCGGAAATCAACCTTGCATACAATAAGTCACCATACTATAATGGGGAATCGAGCAAGCATACATTAAAGGCTCAATACCATGTATAATAATATGTCCCAATCTTTATTCTGGTCAACAAATTGTACTATTTTAGAATATTTCAATTAATTGATGATACAAATTTCATCTTAACACACCTTATTTAAAATTTTTTAAAAATTCAACATAATGGTTTGAAACGTCTAACGTAAACTTTTTCAAATGAAACTTCGATTTAAAAATATTTTCGAACCCTCTGGACAAGTAAAATAGGATGTAATGGATAATTTACACAACAGGTAGGACACTTAAACATCTAGAACTTAGATAGAGATATTATTTATTTTCTGGAGCTTTCAAGCCAGCAAGAGTGTTATTGTCCCTATAAGAAAAATCGCTCGATGACTGTGACTTTGGCGAAACCACGTGCGTGTTATGGATAATCCATAGTTGTATGTTTCTACATATATTGGTTAAGCCGACCTAACATTAAATAAATAAATTGAAAGTAGCCTATTTTTAGTAATTATGTTATTTTTTGATAGCGACACATTGGACACACATAAAGGACTGTATCTCTTCTAAATCATGTAATCATGAATGTGTCAGTAAATAACTAATACTCATGTATTCAATGACGATAGAATAATAATTTCCGATGATGCATAACTGAAATTTCCTATTAAGAACCGTATTGTGTGTGCGGGGGGGGGGGGGTATTTAAAATTTAAAATACGAGTTATCGTGTCATGTTTGGCTGGCAAGTATTTCAATATATTACTTATTCCCTGGCACATTCATGATTACATGATTTAGAAGAGATAAAACACTCTTTCGTTTGAGCAAAAAGAAATATCGCTATGAGACAATAACCTAATTTTTGAAAATAGACTACTTTCAATTTATTTTATTTTCCGAACGCCCGGCCCAATTAGCGATACTACGCACGTGGTTTCACTACAGTCGCGGTCGTACAGCGATTGTCCTTATTGTATATGCTTGCTCCAATTTCCATTATTGTATGGTGACTTATTGTATGCCATGTTGATTTCCGCTCATGTCGTCATAATGTTCCGGTTCGATGGATTTCGAGAAATGTATTTGGAGATTTGTATTTGGAAATTTGTTGTTCGAGATTTGTTTTTCGTTGTATGTATTTGATGAAATGTAAATATAGGCGAATTGTTTGATTTTCTAAAATAAACTATATCTTTATATAACTAAAATTAAATTAAACAAAAATACAATTTACAAATCTTTTATGACAAATGTCTAATTTGTAAAACAAATATTGATTTTAAGATACAAATTAATGTTAATTTTAGAGTACAAATGTTGGAATACGACAACAAATGAAGAAATAAGAATAACGGATTGTGAATTAAGAACTAAGAATAAAGAGCTGTTTGGTCTTCCATATCTTAGTTCTTGAGTGCTTTGGAAAAGCTAATCGTCTGGACTTTTATAATGACATTTCGTAATATTTGGTGATCTAATCAACTCCGAACAGTTGTTATGGGCCAATAGTGTTACAATAGTAAAGCTATTTTATCACAATTCTGTCGTGTCGAAATTAGACATTTCATTGGCTTGGGATAGATGATAATGGTGGCATATTGTGTAGTCTCGAGTGACTCCATATCATACAGTAATGCAATGGTTGTAGCATGACTATCACCAAGGGTAGGTGACGGTAGATGGTCTTAGCCGCATGTAAGTGTATGTTTCGTTGCTTTACAATCCATCTTATTTGGCAGACCTGTGACTTGGACAATTGTGCATCGATTGATATGACGTAACAATTCCAAGATTGTGGCGATGGATGACACCATGTATTTGTTTTCTTTACAGACGCTACAGGTCCACAGCATACAGACATTTTGTGAGGCGGGTGTATGGCATACTCGGAAGGGGAAACGGTGTGGACCTCCCTGCATGTTATAACCGCATCCGTTCAATATTAAAGAACAATGTTGGTGTCCACCATTTTTACATATATGATAGAAATATAATTTAATATAGCGGTCTTGGCTACGGTTGGGCGATTTGAACATTCGGGAAGTGACGTAAATAAAGTAATTCAGTAATGCCTGGGTCCCACTGGGCATTTCTTGAGTATGGGAGATGTAATACCGATGGAAATTAATGTACTTCGAGATGCGTCGGGAACAGGTTCCCTGTTGTCCCGGGCAAACTTCAGGAACGTCGCGAGTCATGCTTGATGTGTCCCCGACCAAATAGGGTGGGAGCACCCCAGCAGCTTTCCAGATCAACGGGGAAGCTCCGGGGAGATGATTTCCTGGAGTTTCTACGACATATTTTATTCCCCCGTGGCATTCGGACACCTTCCAGATATATATTAAATCCCCGGCGAATTTTCGGCTACCATTCGATGAACTTTTGGTAACACATTCCCGATCTCAGGGTTCCATCCCCGAATATTCGGCGACGGTTGAAAAGTGCTGGATTTGCATAAAATACATCTCTTTTCAATCGGCGATCATTTACATAATGTCTAGGTCCCACTGGGCATTTTTGGCCTCTGAGATGTACTGCCGATGGAAATTTATGAGCCTCGGGAGGCCTCGGGAAGAGAGCCAGAGGGAACCATCAGAGGGCACGGGAGAAAATTTGTTTATGTCCACATCATCCACCTAGGCATAAATGAAAATAGAAAGATGCAACAGCTACTTAGACGATTTTTAGTTCATTGATAATTCCTTTGAAATAACTGATTTCGTTTAATTGCGTCACTTTTTGGATCTTCAAATTGGTTTTACGGGTCCGCCGTAGCAAAGATCTGTGTCAAATTTGATCTGGAATTTATTTAATCAGGTCTATCCCCTATGTAAAATTGGTAGACAAAAACATTGTCCTTTACAAAATACAGGACAACTCAACTCAAATTTTTTATTTATCTATGTTTTGCATAAGATGCACATAGAAAAACATATCGTATCTGAGAACCCTTTCGTCTTTGTAATAATTTGCTACCAGGTGAGAGAGTACAAGTTAGAGAATACTTGACCGATCGCTGACCGCTAATTACATATCCTAGTGTTCAGGTGTCACCAACATCAATATGATTATAGTGAAATAATCTATCAATGACAGCTGATTCATTGTGTAGTTCTTTATTTAATATTTTTAATATCAATAATATATGTATACGCATACGTTAATTAACTTTATACCACATCTAAGTTAAGTATAAATTAGCTGAGGTGTTTGAGTCAAATCAGTGGAGCTTGGGGGCTCACCAAAGACGGGTCTCTCTATTTTCTAATATTGTAATACTGCTAGAATAAATTAATGTCCAGTCCAGATCGTGTTCTACTTGAAATTATGTTATATGTCCGCACATACGTTTTGGGGTTGAGTGGCTGAATGGTTTAATGCGTGTGCGTTTGATCACATGGCCTGTCATTGAGCCAAGTGGCTTGGTTTCGATTCCCAATTTGTACGTGACATGCAGTAGCTGAGGGTCATTTACTAGGGCAGCAGTAGCAACACGGCACCCCAACCTTGCCCTCGCGTGTTAACCCGAACGTTAACGATATTGATATCTTTGATAGCCGGAGTCGTCAGCTTGAATTGATGACGACAAATCCAAATCTTTAAACAAAACAGCGCTTTTGCCATCGAAAGGTGTAGGTCTCAGGGTTCAATGAACCGGATTCCACGTGCTAGGCGACCTCCCAAGGTTATGACTGTCCGTTCCTGCATCATTCAGCAAACCTCGGCAGATTCCGTTACTCTACATCTAGCCTCGGCTGTATGACGGTAAGTGATATGTACCTCCGCCTATACAATTGCGATGCGGCACCGGTTTAGTTAATAGGAAAACATTGTCCCTTTAAAAAGAAGTTATCAAAATTTCGTCGTTCTAAGCGTGTGTAGAATTTTCTGCGCAAAGTTGTATTGTTTGAAGACGATTTAGCCTCCCCCCCCCCCCACCAAAAAAAATAAAAAAATATTTCGCCGACAATAATGATTTTTTTTATACGGCCACATGGAAGTGTGGTCGTTTATTGTCGTCGCCCCCGTCCATCCGTCCGTTAATTTCTTCTGGAGTAATGGCCCTTGTTTCACTTTGTTGCACCCTGTGAACGCTCTAACGACAAAAGTTATTAACCGATCTGTATGAAATGTATATGCATCATTTAAATTAGTAAAACAAAGAAGCCTATCGAATTTCAGCAATTTCCGTTAATTACATATAGAGTTATGGCCCTTGTTTCAATATGTTGAATCTTATGAACACTCTAATGACAACAGTTATCGTCCAATCTGTTTGAAATTGATATGCATCATTTAAATTAGTGCAACGAATAGGCCAGTTGAATTTCAGCAATTTCCGTTAATTACGCCGTGAGTTATGGCCCTTGTTTCATTTTGTTGTACCTCGTAAATGCTCTAACGACAAAAGTTATTATCCGATCTGTATGAAATGTATATACTCTTCAAAAAAGTAGGGGATATTCAGAAATGCACTGCTGTTTTTATTAGAGGTATGCAGTGTATGTTAAAGGACAATATTGGTGCCAGTTATTATCACATATGTGATAGAACTGGTTAAACACGTTCCAAATATTATTTTATCACAGAGATCATTGCTAGGATAGATGAGTTATCAATGTTTCAACAATAGGAAGTGACGAACGCAAAAGGAAAACACGAGTTATCCCTTTATATAACTGAATGAAGTGACGAGTGATAACGGATACATGGGCGAATTTCTGCTAACTAATGATTCCTTCGAAGACCAAAAGTTGTTGTATGGGACTGTGAAAGGATATCTGACAATTCATAAACAAAATAGTCTCTCACTAGATAAAAGAGAATATGAAAGAAAAATAGAAAAGTCCGTGCATTACCATGTTTTTATAAGTATAGAATGAATAAACACCCGTAAATGTACGGACTGTTTCTATTTTTCTCGTGTTCTCTTATCTAATGACATGCAATCACTTTTTTGAATTGTCAGATATACTATTACAGTCTCATATAACAACTTTTGATCTTCGAAGGAATTTTTAGTGAGCAGAAATTCGCCCATGTATCTGTTATCACCCGTCACTTCAGCCTGTTATATAAAGGGATAACTCGTTTTTTCCTTTTGCGTTCGTCACTTCCTATTGTTGAAACATTGATTATTCATCTATCGTAGCAATGATCTCTGTGATAAATTAATATTTGGAACGTGTATAACCAGTTCTATCAGATATGTGATAATGACTGGCACCAATATTGTCCTTTAATAACAGGCTAATTGCCTACACATGAACATAAACAGTTCATATGGGCGGCTTATCTGACAGCCCCATTTCACTCGCAAAGAGATACACTGTCAAAAGTGAAAATGGGCGCTGTTGATTTTTGTCTTAATAATGAGTAATTGCTCCACCAATCCTCAGACATTCAGCAATTCGTCGTGGCATGCTCCTAATCAACCGTCCAATCACGATTTTGGGCAATCTGAGCCACTCCTCTTGCAGTGCCACTGCCAATTCTTGCAGTGTTGTCGGTTGACGTTGACGTCGATGAACACGTCTCCCGATCAAATTAAACGTAACACACTATAGCAAAGATGTGCCAAACAGTAAATCATATGCAGAAACCGATAGGAAAGCAAACATGGATAGGATAAACCAGCAAGCGGCAGTTTTCATCAACCCTTCCTTGAAGTGTCAAATTTGACAATGAACACCTCCCACGTGTATGGCGCTATTGCGTGTCCCACATGCAGCTCAGTGGTTCTGTTGGGGCGATAAGTTCTTCATCTGTGAACATACTCTCAAAGCATGACAAGTGCCCATGACTATTTATTATATCACAACCTGCTTAGGTATTTGCATTTCAATATCCCCTAATTTTTTTTTGAAGAGTATATGTATCGTTTAAATTAGTGAAACGAACAAGCCTATTGAATTTTAGTAAATTTCCGTTAATTACATCTAGAGTTATGGCCCTTGTTTCACTGTGTTGAATCTTGTGAACGCTTGAACGACAAAAGTTATCACCTAATCTGTACGAAATTCATTTGCATCATTTACATTAGTGAAATGAAGAAACCTGTTGAATGTCAGCAATTTCCGTCAATTACTTCTAGAGTTATGGCCCTTGTTTTACTTTGTTGAACCTTGTGAACTTTCGAATGACAAAAGTTATCATCCGATCTGTATGAAATTCATATGCATTATTTGACTTAGTAAAACGAAAAAGCCTGTCGAATTTCAACAATTTCTGTAGATTACTCCCAGAGTTACGGCACTTGTTTTAGTTTTTAGAAATTTGTGAACCCTCAAACGACGAAAATTATAATGTCATCTGTATGAAATTGTCTATTAAATTCCCCTAATTACCTACAAAAGAATAAATATGTGACAACCCTTGTCGACTGATCGGACGATTTATCTGCTGTGAGCGTGTGTTTTGTTGCCTGGCAATCTATCTTTTAGGAGTGTTTAAATTGGTAGGCGACCCGTAGGGTCGTAGCATGGTTATTATAATAACCTGGTGTGACAATCTGATCTATAACTGAAGTTGACGTTTAAACTCTCGACAACTTCTGTGAAGACACGTTCTTAATAAACATCTAGTTAATTCAAGATGTTCTTTAACAAGCTACACATGATCCGCGTGTAAATCTAGACTGAACTTCAAAGAGAATGTATTAGTTGTCAGTTCATTATACCTTGACCTGACAATGACTTTTAAAGAAATATGCAGTTTAATTACAAACACCATAATTGATAATAAACAATACCATATATGATTATCACTCCTGTCCACCTCAGCTAAATGTTAGAGGCTTTATAAGCAGACGTTTACTGACAAGCAAGTAAGACTTGGAATAGAGCCCCCCCTCCCCCGATTTATGTCTATTTCATGTTCTCAATAAATGTTTTATACATTATGCTGATATTCTGTTATCTGTAAGACAGTGTTACAATGGTCACCTCCAGATCCTCTTGTCTTTATACCATACGTGCGTTGTACATAACTACTGTGAGGCGTGTTGGTCTTCTGTCACTGAACACGTGTACTTGCTGATCACACTCACGTACTCGCGGCTCCTCTCGCCTCGCGTAGTCCTACCGGCCTAGCATCCGACTAGTGTCCAGTATTGACATTTGCTCTGGCAGAACATTTTTGAACGTTTTGAGGTTGAGAATTCGATAGCGACGAAGAACTGGTTTATTTGTTCGCCTCCAAGGCGCCGGTTTAAATGTTTGCATTTGCCGACACCCGAAGTAGGGTGCCTACGGGTGCCTATTGTGTCTAACATATAAGGTGCCTATATTGTGCAGCCTATACTGTAATTCTATGAATAGAATAATAGAATACATATAATTAACTTGAAATTTGATACTACAGCTGTATTGCGCGGCCTAGAGGTCTCCGCGTAAACCAAAAGACACTCTCTATTTCAAGATGATATCGGCGGGAGCAGTCGAAGAAGGAAATTTCAGAAAATTCAGCCATAAAACCCTGCCTGAGGCACTTCAATTTGAGGCCCAGGGATACACTCAGATGCGAGGAGAGAGCACCAAATTTTCAAAATTTTATAGGGGAAAACCCCCAGACCCCACCCCTGGCCACATCCTCAGCCCCTCCCAAAAATTACATAGACGCCCCCCCCCCCAAGGCCGTTGGTAATCCAGGGGGAACTTGAAAGTAGTTTAAATGGCGGATTTTGTCATATAGCCGAGGCTAGATGTACGGTACTGGAATCTGCTGAGGTTTGCCGAGTGGTTCCTGCATATAGGAACAGAAAATCATGATTTGTGGATTGTACATTCACTGTCTGTCCTGATTTATGAGATCCGGTTCCACAAATTACCCCTTAGTCTTTGCTCTCCTGCCAAATTGACAAGCTACAACGAACGCCAGGCTTTCCCGTGTCACTATGGAACCACAACCAGACAGCAAGGCCCAGGGACAACTTTGGGGGATTGTGTCATGATAAGTGAAAAAGAAAAAGAAAAAGAATGTACCAGTAAACATAAACTGTGAATAGTTAATATGTCCATGTATATATCATATTATGTGACTGTGTCACGAAAAGTCCAAATATAATAAGCAACAATATATCTATGAATGATTTATCTTGTATTTCTGTTTGACTGTTCTATTATTTAGCAAAGGTAACAGCATCTCAATATACTGTGCAACTAACCATAAATAGTGATGTTTCAAGTTGTCTAAGTTTTTTGGGGATACCTAAGGGCAATGGAGCCCCCCCCCCCCCCATACAAGTAGGTAAGACATTCTCGAGACAATGACAATGGTTCTATCCACAGGCGATGGTTCTGATAAGTATAAGTAGTCTAACACTTTGCTGGATCCTTCAACACGAAAACTCAATACCCCCTAAATATTAAGTGATTTCATTCAAACTTTGGCGTTTATTTTTTCTTAGGGAATATAACAGATATCCGTGTTGGGACATTGGATTATAAGCCCAGTCATTGCATTCTCGAAAAAGTCATATTCGACAAATGCATACATTCTACGTATTACGTACTCTAGCCTCGACAAATGTATCAATTCTACTACTTATAACGAACTTTGACCTTCACAGCTCACCGATTGAGTGTGTTTTTTAAGCGTTTTCTCAATGCACACCTGACCAACTAGTAGACGATTGGAAATGCAATCATAAATAAGAAGAATAGCTGTTAGCAGTTTATTTTTTTTATTTTTTTTTATTATTTTTTTTTTACACTACAAGCCAATTAAATATTATAGGCTAGTACTTCTATTTTACGTACGGCAGAGGGAATGTGTTGTGAATTGCCTTTATAACGCATGCAGGAAGTTCCCTCTGATCACCCACTGGAAGTTCACCATGGGTTACGCGAACAAAATGTCGACATGCTGTGTAACGATGTTTCCTGTAAATTAAAAAATTTGTTGCCATTTAACGAAATATCTATTATTCAAATTATATACACATCCCATTATAATAGTAGTTGTTCAATATTAAACCACGTGGGCTTATATAAGCCAACTGTTGATGACAAAAGAAACAGGGACTTACACAGCCATTTCATAATATTGACAGTCATAAATCTATATTATACACTGTGTTGTTTTAGATTAGATAATGAGTGTTGGGTGTACAACTGTTTAGTTTCTCAAAAGGTGTTGAATAATTGCTCAGCAACAAAACACTAACACAACACAGTTCTATAGATAACAATCACTATATTATATACATACTGGTCTTAAACAGTGAATTCTTGTCGAAACGTCGTGTGCTTGTATGCTTGATAATTTCTTTGCTTGATAACGACCAGTGAATTCTTGTGGAAACATCATGTGTATATAATATAGTGCTTGTTTTTCATAGAACTGTGTTGTGTTATACTATGTTCAATCGTTAAATGCCATTCAAAGATTATTAGCTAAACACTAACCCAACACTCATTATCTTATCTGGAGATAGGAGCGCCTTCTCGTGTATTTACTCCGAGTGCTGCATAATGAAATAAGACAACTTGTCTTCGATATCACAGTCGGTGAAAGCCGACGTTAACAGAACATAAAAGGTACAAAAGATGTCGGATGAGTGTAATTTTGATGAACAGGGGAAGCGACAGTGTAGCAAGATCGCTAGAATTTTTGCTCTTTAAATTTTTTTGTATTAATTAATATGTTAGGCTAATTATTAGATTCACAGATTGTATAGAAGTCATATTGTCTCATATGCACTTAAATCAAAATGAATGATTGACAAATTGACATATAAAAAAAATAGTTATAATTTGGTAAACATTCAATTCTAGGTTGATAACAGATATTTTGTGGGAAATTTCTACTGTAAGTTTCCACTATTCATATAAGGGTGGTTGTCGACGTCATTAGGTTAAATAACCAATCGTTATAATTAATTGCGTCATACTTGACCAATTAAATAACTGAAAGTCCAAAACCCAAAGCTATCAAGACCATCATATTTTTGAGCATTCGTCAGACAGTCGCTTGATTCCAGGACGGAGAGGATGTAGCAATTTCTATCAGCAGACTCGCCTGGCTGGACGGGGTTTGAGAGAATGACTTTATTGTAATTTATTATGTAGTGTACCATTTGTAAGCAGCTTGATATATAAAATGTAAAAACGAACTGTTGCATTGTTATTCCTGAGAAGACAAGTGTCTTAACTACTTAGATAAGAAGAGAGTACACAACGTGAAAAAGACATTTGAAAAGTCAATGAACAATTACAAATACTAGACGATCACAAGGCTATTAAGATATGTAGTAAGAAAAGAATGCGGGGGTCATACGTATAATGTGGCGACCGGTTTTATTGCGTCGTCCGCTCTTCACGTCTGGCAGAAAAACCCATGGGGCTACAATAGAGCTATAGTTTTTAACATATTTTTATACGCCCACATTTTCATGTGGGCGTATTATGCCGTCGCCCCTATCCGTCCGGACGTCCGTCCGTCCACAATTTGTTTGTGGACAATCTACAGGTCACAATTCTTATCCGATTTTGACGAAACTTGAAATATAGGTTTATCTCCAAAAGATCTCGGTTCCTTTCGATATTGGCATGTATCGGATCGAAACTTCATGGATTATGGTCCCTGTTTGTACGAAAAATCACGTTTTTAGCTTGTGGACACTATAGAGGTCACAATTTTTATCCAATGTTGTTGAAACTTGAAATCTAAGTTGATAATCCAAAGATCTCGGTTCCTTTCGATATTCGCGCATATCGGACCGTAACTGCCTGAATTATGGCCCCTGATTGTACCAAAAATCGTGTTTTTAGCTTGTGGACCCTATAGAGGTCATAATTTTTATCCGATTTAAAAAAAACGTTCAATTATATCACCGTTACACCCTAAGGATGGCTGAGTTCGAATTTCGTGAAAATCGGCCCGAAATTGACAGACAAAATGGCCGTCGTTCGTTCTCAAATAGTGTAAAAATATGGTATATCAATGTAGTGGACACTATAGAGGTCACAATTTTTATCCGATTTTCTTGAAACTTGAAATCTAAGTTGATAATCCAAAGATCTTGGTTCCTGTCGATATTCGTGCATATCGGACTGTAACTTCCTGAATTATGGCCCCTGATTGTACCAAAAATCGTGTTTTTAGCTTGTGGACCCTATAGAGGTCATAATTTTTATCCGATTTAAAAAACCGTTCAATTATATCACCGTTACACCCTAAGGATGGCTGAGTTCGAATTTCGTGAAAATCGGCCCGAAATTGACAGACAAAATGGCCGTCGTTCGTTCTCAAATAGCATAAAAATATGGTATATCAATGTTGTGGACACTATAGAGGTCACAATTTTTATCCGATTTTCTTGAAACTTGAAATCTAAGTTGATAATCCAAAGATCTCGGTCCCTTTCGATATTCGCGCATATCGGACCGTACTTCCTGAATTATGGACCCTGATTGTACCAAAAATCGCGTTTTTAGCTTGTGGACCCTATAGAGGTCATAATTTTTATCCGATTTAAAAAAAACGTTCAATTATATCACCGTTACACCCTAAGGATGGCTGAGCTCGAATTTCGTGAAAATCGGCCTGAAATTGACAGACAAAATGGCCGCCGTTCGTTCTCAAATAGCGTAAAAATATGGTATATCAATGTAGTGGACACTATAGAGGTCACAATTTTTATCCGATTTTCTTGAAACTTGAAATCTAAGTTGATAATCCACAGATCTCGGTTCCTTTCGATATTCGCGCATATCGGACCGTAACTTCCTGAATTATGGCCCCTGATTGTACCAAAAATCGTGTTTTTAGCTTGTGGACCCTATAGAGGTCATAATTTTTATCCGATTTAAGAAACCGTTCAATTATATCACCGTTACACCCTAAGGATGGCTGAGTTCGAATTTCGTGAAAATCGGCCCGAAATTGACAGACAAAATGGCCGTCGTTCGTTCTCAAATAGCGTAAAAATATGGTATTATCAATGTTGTGGACACTATAGAGGTCACAATTTTTATCCGATTTTCTTGAAACTTGACATCTAAGTTGATAATCCAAAGATCTCGGTTCCTTTCGATATTCGCGCATATCGGACCGTAACTTCCTGAATTATGGCCCCTGATTGTACCAAAAATCGTGTTTTTAGCTTGTGGACCCTATAGAGGTCATAATTTTTATCCGATTTAAAAAACCGTTCAATTATATCACCGTTACACATTAAGGATGGCTGAGTTCGAATTTCGTGAAAATCGGCCCGAAATTGACAGACAAATTGGCCGTTGTTCGTTCTCAAATAGCGTAAAAATATGGTATATCAATGTTGTGGACACTATAGAGGTCACAATTTTTATCCGATTTTCTTGAAACTTGAAATCTAAGTTGATAATCCAAAGATCTCGGTCCCTTTCGATATTCGCGCATATCGGACCGTACTTCCTGAATTATGGCCCCTGATTGTACCAAAAATCGCGTTTTTAGCTTGTGGACCCTATAGAGGTCATAATTTTTATCCGATTTAAAAAAAAACGTATTATTATATCACCGATACACCGTAAGGATGGCTTAGTTCGAATTTCGTGAAAATCGGCCCAAAATTGACAGACAAAATGGCCGCCGTGCGTTCTCAAATAGCGTAAAAATATGGTATATCAATGTTGTGGACACTATAGAGGTCACAATTTTTTATTTGATTTTGTTGAGACTTGAAATGTAAGTTTATAACCCAAAGATGTCGGTTCCTTTCGATATTCGCGCATACCGGACCTTAACTTCCTGAATTATGGCCCCTGATTGTACGAAAAATCACGTTTTTAGCTTGTGGACCCTATAGAGGTTATAATTTTTATCCGATTTAAAAAAACGTTTTATTATATCACCGTTACACCCTAAGGTCGACTGAGTTCGAATTTCGTGAAAATCGGCCCAAAATTGACAGACAAAATGGCTGCCGTTCTTTCTCAAATAGGGTAAATTATATCAAGGTTGTGGACCCTATAGAGGTCACAATTTTTATCCGATTTTGTTGAAACTTGAAATGTAAGTTTATAACCCAAAGATCTCGGTTCCTTTCGATATTCACGCATATCGAATTGTAATTTCCTGAATTATGGCCCTTGATTGTAGGAAAAATCACTTTCTTGTTAGCTTGTTCTCTATCCATCTCTCGAAAATGTGGGCGTATCCTGCCTGGCAGCCGCTGGTTTTTTTAAAATTTGGTTTGACATAACAGAATTCCGCGACTTTTCGTTCAAAGGTTATGCATCTTTGTCCGAACACTTTGGGAATGCTACAGAGGGTACAGTTGTTAACGGATCATTTCAAATTTGATGTTAAGCTTCTGGTCCGGAGTTACACTTTGGAAATCGATAGAGGCTACAGTTTGTAACGGTTGTTTCAAAATCATTCAAACAATGAGAGGATGAGCCCTGCCGATTTTAACAGTTCTCGTTCCATCTCTTGCAAATTGTGGGCGTATGTTACATTACAGCCGCCAGTAGGTTTCGCGGTCAGTAGGATACCGACTGACATGCCCTCTCGTATGATCGATCTCCGTAGGTTACACAAAGTCAAATACTCAAGATACGATTTCATCGAAGTTCGATACTTAGGGGGGTGACAATTCATTGGAATGAACTGCTAATTTAATTATTTGAAAATCTCCACACTGATAGCGACCCAGTAGCGCTATTATATGCGATTCAGTGATCCCGAATCCATATAAATCTCGACATACGTGTCGTTATCAATAAATGTGGTTTCAATGAGTTAATTAACCGTTTAACTTAATATTTAATACGCTAATAGTCCATAAATAATGATGTTACCGTAATATGGGATCCTAATATCCAATATTCGAGACATAATGCACATTAATTTATAATTAGTACACGAGTCGTGTATTCTATGGTTTCGGGCGCCATGT